TGGGCTAAATATAAAGCAAATAATACCTTAGCTTCCTCCAATCGACCAAGAGCTTTCAATAGATTTCCCAAGTCGCTGCGCACGCAGTATAAATCCTACATGAATATTGTTTATAATTATTTATAGTTGTGAATAAATGGCAAATGAAATTACGGGATTGTATTGCAAGGCTGTTATATAGGCCTGAACGGCTGACTCCATATCCCGCGCAGCCACCAGCGCAGCAGCCAAGTTTATATATCCATCTATAAAGTCGGGCTTTAAGCGTACAGCTCGGCGATAATTGTCTAACGCTTCTTGCAGCTGTCCTCGTTCTTTGTAAACATTTCCCAAATTACTGCAATTATAATTGGAATTTAAGTAAAACAATATTACAAAACAATTGTATTATCGAATTGTGGCTCACCTGTACGCCTCGGCCAGCACTGGATTTTGCTTTATAGCCAATGTGGAGAACTGCGCGGATTTATCAAGCCTTCGGCACTGGAAATGAATTGAAGACAGCAACAACAAGACGCCAGTGTTAGTGCTATCTTGTCGCCATAGCTGCATGCAATGCCTTTCTGCGTTTTCATAATCGACAGCTTGGTACTCCCGATGCGCCAACTCCAATAAACCTTAAATAAAAATCATCATCATCATCAGTATTAAAAGTATTGCAATAGATTAGAATGCATATATTGATTAAATGCCCACAAGTTGACTAATGACTAATTAATAAAACTATTTTATCAGACTAAGTACACCTTTAACCCATTCTGCAAAACATTCTGCAAAAGCTTCTGCTTCAAGCTTTCTGAGTTTATACAAAAACAGATATAGATATCAACACACTTGAAGTTTATTCTACATTTTATGCTTCAAATGCGTTACTGTTGTTTATCCAGTTGCTAACAGGTTATATAAAATTCGATTACACTTAAAATTCTTAATAATTTCAATAATTTTGTATACAGTTTTTCACTTAGATCTCACAATGGTTTCATTAGTTTCTTTGCGGATGCATAAGCTTCTTCTATTATTTTCATGAATGCCTTTATAAAATAGATAATGTGAGCTTACTGTGCTGCACTATTTCTTCATCGTCTCTAAGTTATAATATCCTGTTTAATAAAATTTCCTATATACGCACGCTTATACATTCAGCGTTTGTAGCATTTACTGTTAGACTTCTCCGTTAGTTATGCATTCTAATGGACGTTTTCACAGTTGAGAAGTCTTTGATGATTTGCCAAAAAATATATTTGCATAAAACTGTTAAAGGCAATTTATCAAATGTAAAGCTTATATAAAAATCAATGGATATAATTTCTTTAAAGTTATTGTAAAAACAAAAGCATCAATATCATGGTAGCTTTTTGATACATAAAATGTGTATATATGAATCAAAATTGAATGATTATATAGATATATGTATATATTATAAAACGATTGCTTTCTATACAAAAACCGACATGCCCTATATCAATTTGACAGTTAAAGACTTATACAAAGTTTATCACGTTTACAAAGCATACCTATTTCACACACTAATACACCTACACATCGCACACATTCTGTGTACATATGTACATATACACATCTCTAAAATTTTCCATTACATATTTAAATGTCTGCTTAAATACGTATGAGATGGATGCATGCAGGTACATTATAGTTACCTGACATGATTTTTGGTAAAGTTAAAACATTTGCAATTATTCTTACCGACAGTAGATAGAGATTGGTGTTCAATAGATTTTCCAACTACATTGTTGTTAGGTAAATGATTTTGCTGCTGCAGTAGGGAATGTGTTGAAGTATGCTGCTGCGTTTGTCCCTGTCCTTGAGAGTTCATTATTTACGGATGGTTCCTCATATATGTGAGTATATATGTATTTTAGTTTCAATTTTGTTTAAAATCAATAGTAAAACCACAGTAAATATCAAATGTCACTGCAAATACTCGATCTAAAGAAACAACAAAAAATCACTGTGAGTACTGGATAATAATTTATACACATCTATTTTATATCAATAAACACCTCTCAATTGGCTATAAGTCTGTAACACAACAAATTTTCGAGCCACCAGCTGCTACAAAAGTCAACCATACATTTGTTAAGTATGGGTTATTTAATAGAGATGATCGATATTTGCACAAATGTTTTTTTCCCCTATTTATAATTTCAAGAGCCAAGTACTAATCGTGACTACAATAAATTTTTTAAGTCACGAGTTTTTATAACGAGTCGTTTCCACTTTAGTTTGATTCAATAATTAGTATTTTTCAAATTGATACTTGAAGCTAATATTTGTAAAAGCAAATATTAAAAAGGAAAATAATTCGCAAAAAAA